TCAAGTCATCTTCAGGGGAACGTTGAAATCTTTACTTGCTTTTGCACAACAATAGCTCTTACAAACAAAACTCCCCACTGCTTCTATGAAATACAAAAGCGACTGGAAAATCGCTTTAATATAATTACACCTATGCATGCGTTTAAAACAGATTTCGAAACACTTTCCATTTTAATTGAGGTACCTCCAAAACAAAATTTTAAATGCATCAATCGCTTCAGGTGTCATACAACGCTGACCTCGAATTTTGTTTTTTAATGTGCTGGGATAAAAAGAAGCCATTGGGTACCAAATCGGAACTATACGGCGGGTGACCCATAAAACCGTCGTTATGAGAGTTCATAAAGTCACTTGTTTTAACTGATGTGTGAGAGCTCGCTTTGTCGTGGTGAAGAATGATCCGTATTCGCCCATGGGTCTTTCATATTTCTCCACTGACAACTGGCAAATAAATGAATGTGTATCATTCAGAATAGACAGTTCTACGTTCTATGGATATGTCCAGTTATTCCGAAAAACCTGGCTACCATTGCTTCAAAGTGCTTCGTGCGCGAACAGCTTTCATTGGATTGGGTTCACAGTCGACTGCTATTTACTTTTAGGCTCATAATGATAATTCATGAATGGTCACCTATTATGATATCATAGACATATTTTGAAGCATTGCTATTGTATTATTTAGCATTTCTTTCGACCAGTCCACATGAGCCTTGAACGATTGTCAAGTTATGTGGGATTTAACGCGAATAAACATTATACAAATATTAAATAAATGCTGATCCCCCAATCTCACGATATGACAATCTTGCAGTATCTGTTAACGCACAGCATCAATGTTTTCCGAAGTAACAACCGATTTTGGACGATCTTCACGAAATTCGTTTTTAAGCGAACTAAGGCTTTGAATGAATTACGAAAACCATCGATTGGAGTTTCATCGCAAAAGTAGAATTAAGTTCGTCAGTGCAGTCTCGTTGTGATTAACACAACGTGACTGCACAAATATAGTGATTAACACAAATTTAAAAAAATAGTCGCACGAAAATGTTCACGACTTAATTCCATTTTTTGACCGAAATTATTTTTTCAAATTATTTTAAACGGTAATGCTCTTATGTTTTGAATACGTTTACTGCCAAAAATGTCAAACTATGCGATAGAGACGTGGATTTCCATAAATAGACGTGGATCTCAACGTAACGGTTTCTAAATACCGAAACAAAACGCAACTCTTGTATTTATCATTGATAGCTTAATAAGATTATTATCCAAAAGCACAACAACAGATGATTGTCAATTCAATCAAATAATTTTTACGCTATTCACAAAGTTAACGTAGACGTGATACATTCATGAGGACCCCTAGGTTTACATCTCAATTTTTAGTATTTGTTTTGGACTACTATCCTGTAAATCAAGCATGCTCATATTGAGATACACCTGCTGTAAGTTGGTGTAAGTTTTTTGTACGCTACATATTTGAGATTTCGGCCGATAATGATGTCATCTGCGCTTTTAAATCACACAGGCAAGTCTTCTTCAAAGCGCGAGTTGCAGAATATTATGTTATTTTATATATTCGGTTGTTCGGTTGTAGTAAGATATTCATACTTCTATTCAGACTATATTTTAGAGTACATATCAATGCAAATTATTCAATAGCAGAGTCCTGTCCCCGTTTAACTGTAATAATTTCCTTTTCTGAATGCAAAGTAGATGCGAAGTGCAGGACGCTACGAGCGGATGATGCCCATCATCCTGCCTATTTTCATTGCAGCTGATAATCAACAACAATAAACTGCATCCACCCAATACATTATATAACTATTTTATATATCTATGGTATGTTTTTTGAGAAGAAGAAACGATTCTTAGGATTCATAGTAAGAAAACTAACAAGCAATTTAACTACTACCTATTTCAGGCGCCAAGCAGTCATGTGAGCATTACTGCATTTCGGTTTTGAAGATATACGTGAAATGTATAATACTTTACTTATACGTGCTGGTGAAATTACAGGAACATGGGAATTTTCTACTTATGTCTCAGGGTGACGGGGCTCAGTAACAGAGTCGCTCAGATCTTTGCGATGCAAAGCTATCAGTAGCACTGCAACTGCTCTCCATAGCAGTCCTTAAGCTTATTGCTTGCCACCAGGCGCCCGACTTGGTCGTAATATATTATGATACCAATGCGCAATGATGAAAATAATGTATATTGTATAGATGCTCTACAAAAAACACGTACTAGATGAAAATTACTTTTAAAAATTCGAACATTTCAGAACCCAAAAGTAAATCATCTTTAAATAACAGTTCGTAACACCTACACGTATATGTACATTTACATATCGTTAGCCGCAGGAGAAGTGATAATAAAATTGGGAAAAGGCTTGCAGGTCGCGATTTCGGATAAAAATCAAAAATGATACCCGTTACATCAGGTCAGGTCTTTTAATTATATTGAAAATTTAGTACAATGAGTATGCATATCTGGATCTCTGTGAGCCACAGGCGAAACCGTGACTAAAGAGCTTTCAATTATCGTATGGTGTAGCGGGCTGGTTTCCGCCTACTAAACGTCCTAGAGTTTATTTTGCGCGTAGTGGGTGGAAAAATAACTGCCTAGTAAATAATAACTTGATAGTACAGACGTTGAGCATCGGCAATTGCTTTCTGAGACTGCCTACAAACCGTAAGTGTAGTCCAAATGTTGCCATGAGAAGTTTTTGTGCCTTTGTGGCATATGTAGATAAGCCCATGCAAGTTCATGTATCGTAACTGCTCAGGGTTTAGAGTTCTTCAATTTTCTTTCTTCGCATTGCTCTTAGGCGATTGTCACACCGCACCTGAACCACACTGAATCACGCGTGCGGTGGCGGAGACGCAGATTTGCGACAAGATCTGCGGCAGCGGTCTAGCGGGCCTGCGTCACTTAAGGTTTGGTTTTTGTTTACTCAAATAAAAAGACACCGAAGATATTGGATACATCCCTTTTTACGAACCAGATCAATAAATGGATAATTTCAACTTCATAACAAAGATTTAAGAAAATATGAAGATAAATTTGGTCGATTTTCAATAGCAAATGTAAATTTATCGATGTCGAGATCTATTGTATAGAAAACTGAACATGTCCTTAAGCTTAAAAATCTGCGCGGTAGTGCGGAGCGCAGTGTGCCATACCCTGCGGTTCGCCGCGCCCCTCCGCGCTGGGTCGCGGTAACACCAGGCGCGCCGAAGCGGAGAAGCGTTGTCAGTGTGTTTGACGGCGCGTGTTTTCCATACAAACTGAGGTACTTCAGCACAACGTTAAAAAACGCAGCTCCGCGCTCCATCGCGGGTGCAGTGTGACAATCGCCTTAAATTGTAATTAGTATATCACATACAAACAAAGTCTTGAAAATTAATTTTACTACCTTTTAGCCTTGTCCTGTGCCTCTCCCGTAATTCCGTGATGATAGGAATTAAAGTATTTTGACTAATAGGAGTAATTTAATGTCGCACAAATTTCTATTGACAACTCTGCAAGTAACGAAGTACAACAACAACCAAAAATGAACTTCTTCTATTCCTGACTACCTAAGCCGGCACAATGACTAATAAGATAATTTCATGAGAAAGACAGCAGTAGCAGGATAATTTATCTTCCAGCGTCTTGCATTAACCCGTATCGATAAATTATTAGTAAATGTAGATACTCTTCCCTTATTAGCTAAACTCCATCTCCAATTAATTTGAGGTCGTATAAACATATATCGTCGTATTGTTCGCATATTTATATTCGCAACATTGTGTAATACAATATTAAACTGTAGGGAAAAAGTCGCCTCAAAAACATTTTATGTTTGTAAATACTTTGCAAAGTCCTTGAAACAAAGTATATAACTTGGCACCTGGAATAAATGCATGGAGGACTACGTAGGTAATGTAAATCTATGTGGTGGCTGTGGTAATTTATTTCCTGAGTGTTTATTCATGCTTCAATTTATTGTCCCTACACGATCGTATTTTCCCACGTCGACCTTATTTCGCTGTGAAATAAGCTAGAAAATGCCATTGAGTTGAGAATTCTATAAATTTCTTAACATTAAAAAAAATAGAAAGGAAATAGCGCATCCGTTCGAACACAAGTGTTCCTAGAGAAGCGAGTATTTTTACATTTTCAGTCCAAGTCATATGTACAATCCATAATTCTGCCCATAAAAGTGATCTACCGTTCTTGTATTGAAGTATTCTATGAAACTTATATTACTTATACTTATACTTATACTTATACTTATACTTATACTTATACTT